TTTCGTTTGTCCTTTTGCAGTCACTTTTCAGAGTGCTTCATGCAGTTAAAGGTTGTTCAAAACGCTTACAATAATTCCTAAAGTATAATTTTATCAAACGATGTCACCTGCCCTGCAATGACGTCATCCTTAAAACCCTTCTCAATGCACATTTTGTCATTGTGATTTTGGTTTGAACCAAGTTTAATGTCAATCCGATGAAAGAAAGTGTGCGATTTGTGGAAGCAGAATAAAACTATAAATCGTCGTGTGCCCGGCAGAAGGGCATAAGTGTGCATATGCCCTTATGCAATGTAGCGTAATGACCAAAATGTTCCCAGCAAAAAGATGCAGAAAACTGCCTCCAATTTAATGAAATTATAACATTTTCGTCAGAAATTAATACACGTTGTTCCTAAACTTATGATTCATACGTGTGACAAATTTCAAATTCGTACGATTTATATTATGCGTGGGAGAACATTGGATACATAATGCGCGCGAGGGAACAATGGAACCTTTCAATGCAATTTTCTTGAAAATGATTTTTGCGTCAGAACGCTCATATGCCCTTCTGCCGGGCACCCGACGAAATATCTAAAAATTATAAAAACCAAACGATGACGTCATCGTGACGTCACTTTAAACTTTGTATACTAGTACCATTATTTACCTACCCACTAAGTTTCATGACAGCCAGACCTTTCCTTATATGTATTTTGAAAAATATCATTTTAATGACGTCATAATGATGTCAGATATTTTTTTTTAAATTTTGTGCAAATACCTTTTACCTAACAGACCAAATACACAAAGAATTTTGAATTTTGCATGTTGCGTTCGTGAGATATGGCTAAAAGGTCACAAAATTCAAATATTCATATAAAATCTCAGGATGACGTCATCATAACGTCACCTCATTTTTTTACCTACAACACATCCCGGTTTAGCCACATACCAAGTTTCAACCCAATCGGACATACAGTTCTGTAGATATAGGTTTTCAAAATATGCACGTAAATTTTCAAAAATCAATAAAAAATTAGGTGATGACGTCATCATGACCGTCAATGACGTCATAGTCTGGGCATAATTTTTTATGAGGGTCTTCCTTTGCTGTAACTTTGATGACGATTCCAGATCGCCAAGTTGTAAAAATGGTGGCTTGAAAACGTGTACAAAGTCAATGGGCTAAAAATCCCACTGCAGAAAAACTGCACCTTTAAACACGTGATTTGCCTTTAAACTGAAACATTTTTATAAAATATTACTTGATATTATGACTCTTGGGAATATTTTCAATCAAATGAAAGAGAATAAAACAAATATGATTTTTTTTCCCCTTCTCATAGTAATTCTCAGCCGAAGTTCAGAAATACTCAGTAAGATATATCAGTGTTGTATAGGAAAAGACTGGTGCAGAAAGCTGTGTACAAAATCTATGGGAAAAATTAATTATTCATAAAATCATAATAAATCACTTGATGACGTCACCATGACGTCACTCTTCGGGACAGAACTTTGCTATAGGGACTATAGGGACTAATACGTCCCTGACTATGCATGAACATAAAATCTGTCAAAGTTAGCCGAAAATCGGCTAAAACGGTCACTGTGGACAGGATTTGACCTTGGCGGCAACACGTGCGCTGCCGGCTGACTGGCATACGATATGTACATGTACAACGTACGTGCATGTACAAGTACACTGTGGACGTCCTGTGCATGTTTTAAAGCAGAGGTATTGCCAACCTGACGTTTTAAGCGTGCGCAGGGCATGTCCGAGTTCGCTTATTGCCTCGGAGCTTTGGAATGTTTTAGACCTACCCTTAAATCGACATTTAAAGTAAAAACTAATATAAATACTTCCATGGTTGATTTTTCAGGAATTTTCAAAGGAAAAAGGGTCTTTTCATTATAACTTCCGGTCTGATGACGTCATACGCCTAAAACTTCGCGCACGTCTTAAGTGGGTCAAGGTCATCATATACATTAATATTTAGGCGATTCCGACAAACTTCGCCACAGACATCTATTCAAAATACATTTTTGAAAATTTTGAACCTGTCGCTAGAGGGCGCTCGAAGATTGCATGACGTCATCGGTAAGTGATTTAAAGAATACTATCAGCCAAGAGACTAACACAGTTAAAAGCAATTTCATATCTATTACCAATTTTAAATAATAAGCCACTTCCGGTTTCGGGCTTTTTCGACCGGAAGCAAGGGTCATGTGATTGCACGCACACTAAATGAAATAAAGACCTCAACCTACTCTACCACTAGCCGCAACAGAATGCTGCGGACGCGTTTTCTTATGCATTTTTAAATATTAAAAGTGTCACAATTTAATTGCCTATAAATAAATACCGTCATCATGACGTAATCATCACACAATGTTGTTTGATGTAGGGTCTTTGCTTGAACAAAGAGTGGTGTAAATGAATTACTGGCAAACAGTCGAAAATGCCCTTTGAATTTTGAGTAGTAGTCGATCGTGACGATGTACTGTTGTCGCTCAAAATCAAATATGTCGCAGGCTAGTTCGCTCCATGGTAGGTCTGGAAGCTTGGTGGGCTTCAGTGGTTCTGCATGTTGACGGTTCTGGTTGGTGTTGCACAGATGACAGTCTTGAACAAGGTCTGTGATCTGTTCGCTCATGCCCGGCCAGTAGAGGGCTTCTCGAGCTCGTTGTTTGCATTTGACAATGCCAAGGTGCGATGCGTGGATTTGCAACAGCATGTCAGCTCTAATGCTTGCTAATTTGCTGATAATCTTCTGTCTCAGTGCCTGTGGTTGTGTCCTTGGGCCATGTACTACCGGTGTGACTGCATGTCGGGTCGATTTTCAGTGAGTACGTTCCTGGGAGTGTGCCAGTTGTTTTCTTCAGCTCTGGATATCGGTCTATGCTGAAGATTCTGTGGATGAGTCGTAGCTGCTGGCTGGCTGTTCCGGACAAGAGTGGCGGTATCTTGTTGGAACTGACAACGTAATACACAAATCGACTGATTTGTTCTTGTATTGAGTTGCCATCGTCACACATCCTTTTACTTACAGTGGGTGACTGGAGTAGGTCTCGAATTTCTGCTTTGTTGGCTCTAACTTCAGATTTGAGCCAAGCTCGACGAAGGCATTGTTTGGCATGATGCTTTGGGCAGCACCCGTATATATTTGCATGCGGAGTGTTTTGCCTGCTATTTTCACATTCTCATACCATTCGTCAGCATTCTGATCTCCAACTGAGCTGATCAGGTGTGCGTAGTCGTTGTCTGATGCAGAGTCGTTATCTGATGTGAGAATCTCCTTCTCTTCAACCTGATGTGTCGCCTGGCGTCGGCGGCACACTGCTGCAAAGTGGTGCAACTTGTGACAGTTGCTGCATCGTTGGTTTTTAGCTGGGCACTTGCTGTGTGCTGAGCTGTATCCACACTTGTGGCATAGTTGGTCACTTGATTGGGCACCTTGGTAGCGTTTGGTCTGCTGTTGTGGTGTCTTGCCAGCTGGAGAACGTCTGGGTGGAGGTTTTTTGGTATTTCCTCCTCTCCGTGTTTGTTCAGCTGGTTTCGAGAAGTGATGTTTCTTGATGGAATGGACTTTCGAGTCCTCTTCCTTGCTGATGATTTTCAGGCTTTCTTGTGACGTTTCGTGGTTTTGCCCGATGCTTATCGCTATGTCCAAAGTCAGGTCATCACCTTTTTCAAGACACTTTTCTCGAACTTTGGAATGCATGCATGACATACAATGGCATCACGGATCATGCGGTCCTCATCTGTGTAACCGCAGTCCTTGACCAGAATTTTCAGATCAGTGACGAACGCATCAAATTTCTCACCGTCTTGTTGTTTTCTGCGATGGAAATTTACTGTAGCTCTGATCGGATTTTTCTTTGGTGCCACGTAGCTCTCGTATTTAGCACACACTCCTTGCAGAGTGTCATTCTCCGCTGGGGTGTCACCAACTGCAGGTGTCCATGTGAAAGTCTCATAGATCTCTCTCCCCTTGTCTCCAATATATGTTATCAGGTAGTTGACTTTCTCTACTTCTTTCTTAGCAGCAAGAGGGCCTTTGAAGGTGAACTCACAGTGTTGCTTGAAACGTTTCCACTCTTTGTGCAGATCAGTGACAAGCCAGTTCATGCTAGGCTTGTCCGTCTTTGACATCTTGATGTCTTTTACAGGCCTCCGTAGATTTTATTTTCGCCGATGGTGTGAGTATATGCACCGAAATTCGATTTCAGTTCGGTGACTATGGCTCATTTATGAGTTATTTAACTCTACAGTTACTCAGAATTAGTCGTACGGCTGTCCGTTGCACTTTTTTGGTGATTTACTGCGAGTTATCATCCACCGTTGGTCACTAACATGTGCCAATCTATCGCTACGTGTTGTCGAGCACGTGAGGAAAGGCTCAATTTTCTGCACGAAAATTTACAGTTATTTCTGGCTACTCACTCACTGTCCTTCTATTGACGAAATCAGGAATTGGTACAACTATAGAATGCAGGGCCACTTCACTCTACATCCGCGCCTCCGTACGGCTGCGTGGAGGCGTGGAGCCGCAGTCGACCTACCTCCGAAAATCGTGGAGGCGTGGAGCCGCAGTCGATATCTCCGAGAATTGCGCCCTCTATCGGTGCGCGTCTCTGCGACTCCGCGACTCCGCGCCTCCGCGACTCCAGTGCCCCGCGTCTCCGCGACTCCGCGACTCCACGACTCCGCGCCTCCGCGACTCCAGTGCCCCGTCGCCCTCCTCCCTTCCTTTGCGAGCCCATTTAAAATGGATATGGATGCTTCGTTCTCAAAAAAATACCGCCGAGAATTGCGCCCTCTATCGGCGCGTGTCCCTGCGACTCCGCGACTCGGCGCCTCCGCGACTCCAGTGCCTCCGCGCCTCCGCGACTCCAGTGCCGCGTCGCCCTCCTCCCTTCCTTTGCGAGCCCATTTAAAATGGATATGGATGCTTCGTTCTCAAAAGAATACCGCCGAGAATTGCGCCCTCTATCGGCGCGTGTCTCTGCGACTCTGCGGTCGAGTTCGGGCGGTCTGTTCTTGACACGCGAACTTTGTTCTCGCGCTCGAACCACACGAACACGTCCCAAGAACATTGTACTCGGAACAAAATCGCACACCACCTATCCGCCGGGGGTTTGCACGAACACACGTAAAAAAGCGCGGGATTTCAAAACAGCGGCAGAAACTTCTCTAGCAAAATGGCCGACGGACATGACGGATTCAGCGTTGCTGAGAAGGGGTAGGATATTTTAATTGCTTTTAATTCTTTTTTCCCTCGGGTAGGTAGTCAGTTCTGAAGACAAATTTGTTTGCAAGGCAGAAGTTTGAAGCAAATTTCACCGCGGAAACATTTTGGTGGTTGATATTAGCTGTAAAGCGACTGTAAGCATGGTATTGTGTAAGGAAAGGGGTGAACCGTAAACTAGTAAAATATTCTTTCCGACTCTGTGAAATGTCATGAATGTGTAATGTTACGTTAATATAGCTCCATGGTTTAATAATGCAGATAAAACTAGGCCTAAGTCAGTAAGAAAAACTAAGTCAGTAAGCACTAACTTAACTGTGTCTGTGATCATGGTCAGATGGTGTGATTATTTTGCATACAAAATTAATGTCCCTACCTAGCAGCTGCCTGGTATTTACTATAGGCTACTAAAAAAGCCTTAGTACTCCTTAGTCTAAGGAGTAATGTTACACGTATTTATATAATTTACCTAGCTGCCTAGTTGCGATAATCGTAACCCACCATCCTCCCGACGCGACGGTCGAAGACCGGAGGGTTAAGAGAGTCGAGACAACTAGGGCTTAGTTAGTGTACAAAATTTACATAGGCCTAGTTGCAATTTTGACCATTTTTGCCAGACTAGTCACCAGATTTGCCCAATTTTTACCACTTTCCTCAAAATATTTTCTCAATGATGTTTTGAGTGTTATGAACGGAGTCATTACACATTGAAGATCGAATCTGTGTTCTTAAAATGTGTGTCATGATCTTTGAAAGTGGTAAAAATTGGGCACATCTGGTGACTAGTCTGGCAAAAATGGTCGAAATTGCTATTATGTAAATTGTGTACACTAGTTGTAACCCTCCGGTCTTCGACTGTCGGGAGGATGGTAGGTTACGATTATCGCAACTACTAGCTGCCTAGCACTTTTAGCAGCCTAGGGTGAGCTAAATATGCTCAATAACTGTTGAAACTTTTGTTTACCCTTATTGGAAATAGGTACACAACAAAGCAAGTTCCTGTCATAATCCGCTATGTTCCTGCTGGTATTGCAGAGCGTTTGAAATCTGGTAAGCATTTTGTTTGGGCTCGTAAATCCCCTTATATATGTGGGGCCTATTTTAAGTTGGGGGCTATCCCAAAAACTATGTCCGAGACTATTGTTCCATACCTGTTGGTAGGTAGGGCTTTATACATTATAGGCCTAACATTTTTTAACAACAAATGTTTAAATTTTAATTCCATCTTGTGAATTATTATGAGTTCACAATGACAATGAACGTATGAATCAGACAAAGATTTCTCATGGAAACATTTCTAAGTCCCCCAAAGCACTCACTGCACATAATTGGTTACCGTGCCAGTACAAATGCAAAAGTATAACATTACCAGTTAACGGTCAAATCTACACTGCCTAGTTTTTATTTTGTTTTTTATTTTTAACTTGGTGACTTTAAATGGGAAAGGGCTGCAAGGTTTCATTATCAGTACAGACAAGTTTCCCTTTTCCAATTATTTCCATCTCAATTTCATACAAAGAAATTATCTTAATTTGCTACACAGGTCCTGTGCATTACATGTATTTAGACCATTATTTTTATATTGAATCTTCTCATAGATGAAAGTTTTGCACAAACATTTTGTGCAACGGTACAGCGGCCTGGCAGGACTAGCCAACCGAAAACACGAGAGACACCTCCCCTAACCAACAGAACTGGACAGCCACGGTTACATGAAGCAGGGAGGCCCCATCCAACCCAGTCCAGCATTACACCAGGACAAGAGACAGAGGCAGGGCCCTCTTCAGTTGGACATGGTAAAATTTGAACTAATATGTTATTAGCATGTAGTGTAGTATTATGTAACTTCCCAGACGGGGGTCTTGAGCACAGAAAAACATGGAAATTAAACAAATTCAGGTCAAATTTACTTGCTCTTCAGCTGACAGAGTTATGCAAAATTGTAATGAGACAGGGTCCTCATTATTTCATCAGCTGAGTTTTTGGTCTTAGTATGTGTACTTTTCTTTAGTGTTGTTGTACCTGAGATCAAATCCAAGTCACAAACTATGAAGAGTAGGGCTGTTCAATTTCGAAAATTTAGTATTTGATTATTTGAAACTAGTATATTTAAATGGGTTAGACCATTATTGTTATATTATATTCTTCTCATAGATGAAAGTTTTGCACAAACATTTTGTGCAACGGTACAGCGGCCTGGCAGGACTAGCCAACCGAAAACACGAGAGACACCTCCCCTAACCAACAGAACTGGACAGCCACGGTTACATGAAGCAGGGAGGCCCCATCCAACCCAGTCCAGCCTTACACCAGGACAAGAGACAGAGGCAGGGCCCTCTTCAGTTGGACATGGTAAAATTTGAACTAATAACATGTTATTAGCATGTAGTGTAGTATTATGTAACTTCCCAGACGGGGGTCTTGAGCACAGAAAAACATGGAAATTAAACAAATTCAGGTCAAATTTACTTGCTCTTCAGCTGACAGAGTTATGCAAAATTGTAATGAGACAGGGTCCTCATTATTTCATCAGCTGAGTTTTTGGTCTTAGTATGTGTACTTTTCTTTAGTGTTGTTGTACCTGAGATCAAACCCAAGTCACAAACTATGAAGAGTAGGGCTGTTCAATTTCGAAAATTTAGTATTTGATTATTTGAAACTAGTATATTTAAATGGGTTAGACCATTATTGTTATATTATATTCTTCTCATAGATGAAAGTTTTGCACAAACATTTTGTGCAACGGTACAGCGGCCTGGCAGGACTAGCCAACCGAAAACACGAGAGACACCTCCCCTAACCAACAGAACTGGACAGCCACGGTTACATGAAGCAGGGAGGCCCCATCCAACCCAGTCCAGCCTTACACCAGGACAAGAGACAGAGGCAGGGCCCTCTTCAGTTGGACATGGTAAAATTTGAACTAATAACATGTTATTAGCATGTAGTGTAGTATTATGTAACTTCCCAGACGGGGGTCTCGAGCACAGAAAAACATGGAAATTAAACAAATTCAGGTCAAATTTACTTGCTCTTCAGCTGACAGAATTATGCAAAATTGTAATGAGACAGGGTCCTCATTATTTCATCAGCTGAGTCAGCTGAGTTTTGGTCTTAGTATGTAGTATGTGTACTTTTCTTTAGTGTTGTTGTACCTGAGATCAAAGCCAAGTCACAAACTATAAAGAGTAGGGCTGTTCAATTTCGAATAGTTTAGTATTTGATTATTCAAAACTGCGTTAGACTGAATATTCGAATATTCAAAATTCGCCAATCATATTTACACGAGCCAGTTAAAACTCCATACTGCGTCAGTTAAAATTTGAAGGCATAGCGTGTAGGTGGTTTGCGTGTGGTAATCGCTATTATGGAGCACTGGTTGCGACATTATTTTGCGTGCGCCTTTTGTTGCATAAAGATTATCACTAATACTTCACTGTTAACATTACATCACCGCGCAGTGTGTGTGTATGGCGTATATGTTCTACATGAATATGTCAACAGGCAAATCCTGAATCACAGTTGTAAAATACATGTACTACATGTATACTCATGCCTGATTTTTTCCTTTGTTCCAGATGAAAGAAAAACCTGGAGTGACAGAGATAGTACCCTGCTTGTGAGCTTGAGAGTCAAGATGGAAGATTCATTCCACGGAACCAAAGCTCATAAAGTGTTATGGAATAAAATTGCCAAAGAAATGCAAAGTAAGGGTTGTTTGGTCACAACAGACCACTGCCAAAACAAATGGAAATCAATTAAACGAGAGTATAAACAAACAGTGGATCATAATTCCCAAACAGGGGCCAATAGGAAGATCTGTAAATTTTACACTGAATTAGATGAATTATATGGCAACAACGAGAGTACCAGACCATCCATGACACTTAGCAGTTGTAGTGTGCCATCTACTACAGGTAACCTCCTTGATGAAACGGAGGAACCTGCTGAAAAAGTGGCAAAGCTGCCCATAGGGCGAAAAAGTCGTAAGCCAACAAAATTGCCCAATGTAGTAGACTGGCTTAATGAGTTTCATAAGGAACAAAGAGAGAGAGACAAACGGCGAGAAGAAATGGTGAGAGAACACAATCGACAGAAACTTGACAGATTTGACAGACTTCTCGATATTCTTGCTAAATCGAAAAAAGAGGATTGAACATTCTCGATTGATCAGTTGATCAGGCTAAAAGTTCTGTGTTGTTGGTGTTCCTTTTTTGCTAAATCGTCGCAGAGCTGACAAACCGGCGAATCGACCATTTTTGCGATTTCGATATTTTGTTATTTTTAGGCTTTATGAAGGTTGCTCTTTCAGGTATTTATGCCAAAATTCTTAATATTTGTCTGGATTTTGAGATTCAGAGCCCCCCTTGTGGCGAATCACTCACAAAAACAAATCCATAATTTGACATAGTGTCGAATACGAAATTTCGCTGGTAAGCAGCTTATGTAAGGTGTGCGTTCCAAGTACCAATGAATGTTATTCGTCAGTTTGTCGGATTGCGCGTGCGTGCACGCGCGATCCGACAAACTGACGAATAGCATACAAACAGTGTGAAGAACAACCGGATATTGCAGTTTAATGTAATTTGACAAACTGACGAATGCGTTTACGATCAAATAAAATCATATCGCACAACTTCTCTGATTAAATAAGTGACCTGGTGGATTCTTAGTTTCATATTTTATTCAGAATATATACTAACAGTTTTTTTATCGAAACATTGAGGGTAAAATACGGCGCCCGGAGAAGTGTCCAACTTCAATCGCGAATTACTCCAAACAAGGTTTTCGCTTATTCGTCGGTTTGTCAGCTCTGCGACGAAATACTCTGCAAATATAAATATAAAAATAACTAGAAATGTGTTTGTGGACAAACACTGAGCTGTTTCGACCGTTTTATTAATGACTGCCGTAAAGGAGTTTCATCCAGGTCGAATGAACATGTACAAGCGTATTCTATACAAAAAGTGTCCATCCTATGTAAAATTATAATATTTTTCATGACGTCAGGATGACGGCACACATTTTAAAAACTTTTCTGTAACTATCTACGACCTAACAAACTTTTTTGCAAACATTTTTTTTCGAATTAACCACGTTCCATTGGTGAGATATGAGTAAAAGGTCCAAAAATTGAATAATTCATATGAAATCACATGATGACGTCATCGTGACGTCACTGCAATTTTTGTCTATAACACTTCCTGGAATATCTGCATACCGAGATTGAACCCAATCGGACCTCAGGTTCTCTAGATATAGTGACTTAAACTATGCAGATTTAGGATGATGTCAAGTGACACGTGATGACGTCATGATGCCGTCATGATTCGACCTGAATCTTCAGATGGTGGTCCAAGTGTGTGCCAGGTTTGAAGTCGATCGGACCGTATTTTATACATTTTTTGCAAAATTTGATTAAGGGAATAAATGTGTGCTCCGGAGGTTTTTATCACTCTGTTTAATACCACTTAGAGTCTGGGTGCTGATAATTACCCGAGCCGGAGGCGAGGGTAATTATCAGCACCCAGACTCTAAGTGGTATTAAACAGAGTGATAAATACCGACGGAGTACATATTTATTCCCATTCATAAATACCTTTTCGGTAAAAAAAAATCATATAATTCGTTCAAAACATCCCGATTTTGTTCAACAAATTCACTTTATGCTTTTGAATCATCCCTCCTGCAAAATAATGGAGTGTTCAGCTGGCGAGTAAGATGAAAACAACCCTTTTATGGAGATTGACGCGCGCGTATCATGTTCTATGCGATGTCGCGCAGAACGCACCTGGCGCGTTGCGTTTTGAATTTAGAACTATAAAATTCTAACTCCCTGGTAGTGTTGCGCATGTCTACGCGAGGATTGTGAACGTTCAACCAATGAAACGATAAGAGGCACTGGATTTTTAGGAGTCCACATTTTATTGTAACTGGAAAAGTGTTTAAGACCAGCTAGCCATGTCTTTATCATCCGTTTAATACCGGCCACGTGACAGGCTCTCGACCAATAGGAATGGCTAAACTGTCTGAGGTATTTATGAATAAATATTAAAATTTGAAAAATTCATAAAAAATCAGATGATGACGTCATGATGATGTCACTTCAGATTTTGAATGCTGTTATCTATACCTACCTACCCACCAAGTTTCATAACGATCGGACATACCCTTATATGTGAATCAAAAAATCACGTTTTTGATGACGTCATGATGACGTCACACATTTTACGAAATTTTGTGCATCTATCTATGACCTAACAAACCTGTTACAAAAAGAATTTCGAATTTACCACATTCCGTTCATGAGATATGAGTAAAAGGTCCAAAAATTGAATAATTTATATAAAATCACACGATGACGTCATCATGACGTCACTGCAATTTTCGTCTATAACACGTCCCGGAACACTTGCATACCAAGTTTGAACCAAATCGGACTTCCGGTTCTGTAGATATAGGGCCTTAAAGTATGCTCCTTAAGGATGACGTCACGTGACACGTGATGACGTCATGATGACGAAAAGTTTCGGCATACATCTTCAGATGTTGGTCTAAGTGTGTGCCAGGTTTGAAGTCGATCGGATTTGAAAAAAGTCCAAAAGTGCCTTGTAGAACGAAAACACGTGTTATCCTATGGGAAAAAAAGTGGAAGAAGAAAAAAAAAAAGAGAAAAAAAAAAAAATAACAAAAACAAGAGCTGTTTCGGTGTGTACACCGAAACAGCTAATTAAACTTCATATAATAAATATGGCAGAGCTTGTATAGTTTCATCTGATTATATGTTCCCTTTCCATCTTTGAAAATTATAACATTATTCACAATATACAATTCTATCAGTACATTTGTACCTTTGCTCTTGGTCAAATGAAGTGTGTATTGTTATAAAGTAGGTTTATTGCTGTAGTCTCACAAGAAGTTGTGTTTCCTGTAAAATGTAGGTGGTAAAGTTTTTCTCCTAGTTTTTCCTCAGCTAAAGAAAACCTATAACTGCATTTTTTGATAGGTTCTGAGTTATTACTTTGGGGCAAGTAATACTGTGAATCAATCATTTGGACACAGACAAATGTTATCTGTTCATTTTTTTTGTTCTGGTTCTTTAATATGCTTGTATACTTACAAATAGGTCATTTGGCTTTGAGCCTTAAACAATTTCATAAAATTTGGGTAACAATAAATAACAATAAACAGGCCTAATAATAAAATATATTATTTAAAAAAATGCATTCCATGTCACACAGACATCACAAAGCGCTGTACAATTAAAATTCCATAAGTTATTAAGAAATACAGATAAAAGCAGTCAAAACAAAAGACAAGTAATTAAACAATCAATAAAAAATAACAAATACTTTTAGCTGCCCTACCAAGATCACATAATAAATTAATTTGTATTAATTGTATCAGCCAAAAGTTTCCATACATTGATTTCCTACAGTAATAGTGAAAAAAATGCCCACTAATTTTTATGCTGTTGAAAAAAATTGTTTATTACAAACTGAAGTTGTACTAGCCGTTTTTGGCCTTGTTGGAGTTGGTATTAATTTTCAAAAAAAAAATTAATGTACGTTTATTACAAACTGAAGTTGTATTAACTGTTTTTGGCCTTGTTAGAGTTGGTATTAACCTTCAAAATAAAACAAGAATTTGGTAAGAAATTTGCAAAATTTTCTCACATACCAGGTCTCTGTTATTTTAAGTTAGTCAACACGAGTATAATATCCAGATACAATTGACATTTTTAAGGTCACTATTTTGGATATAAAATATGACAAACGGCAACTTCCTGAAAATCAGAACAATGAAAACGTACATGTTACATATGAGTTTGCACGTAACTTCTGATTTGATGACGTTCTAGCATTTGCACACCAATGACTGGAAAGTCTAGTGTAGTGCAATTATTTGTGTAAAATAATACTTCTGCATGTTTACTGAATGACGGCGTAAAAACAAGGGAAACGCATCATTTTCCAAATTTACACTTTTTCTCAAGCGTTCAAGCTCCACTTTGGTAAATGTGTGGGAAATTCACCTCCATTTTAAATGTTTTTTCATATATCGTTGCACTTCAGTAATCATGGACATAAAGGTTATCTGATGTGTCTGTGAATCAACTATGTTGCCTAAAATTAGGCTTAACAGATCGGAAAATATGAAGTGATGTCTCATTCAGTTTGATAGTTATAGCTAAAATTGTTTCTTTTAATTTTGACAATGTAATTTGACATTTGATAATGTCACAGTGATGTCACAAAAATATGCACACCAAACTTTGGGTTTCTACCAGATTTAAAGTTTACACCATGACCGGTTTAAAGACATTTGCTTATTTGAATACAAACTTTTCAGTAGTTTAAATTCATTTAACTTTGAGTTTAACCATGGAAGTATATGTAAGGGTCAGACAACAATATTTAGCCCCCACTCAAGATCTGTCAGATCCGATATAAGGAGTATCATACCATGTTCCCTCAAATACAGTTATAAGAAATCGGTCATTGTTTGAGTTAAACTTTTTTGTAACTTGATGACTGATGGTGTCATCATGACATCACACTTGCATGCACAAGTTACTGGGTATAAAGGTTGATGATAATGCTAGTTTTCAAGTTGATATATTTTACCCTCTTGAAAAGACTTACAGATTTGTGTGTGGAAAAAAACACTAAAAAGAAGAAACCAATACAGTTGAAGACTGATAAGAAGAGCACTGTTAATACAACGTCATGCTTATAACAAGGACAATTTTAGGTCCCAAGTCTGTGGTTTTTCTTTGTTTTCAATACTGTTAATACAAGATATCTGTTATAACAAGGAATTTTGTAAAGTCTGAAGGACCCTGTTATATCAGTGTTTCACTGTATATTGGAAAATTTGGGGAGTTTTATTATCCATTTCCAAACTTTACACTGCTGATGAATCTGAGTCTGTCCCGTAGAGCTATATTAGATTACTAGAGCGCTAACTCGATGTACAAAGTGATGCCTGCTGATCGCATCCATGTTTGTGCACAAACCTATGGGAAAACTCGAAATTTTGTACAGCTTTTGTATGGCTATGTGCATATCTGCGTTTTTATTCTATACTGGTGCGTTATCAAAGCCCAAAACAGAAACACAAAATCACTAAGTGAGCGTTTCATTTTGTTCTGCGCAAACAACGCAAACACATGCACGGATCAGCTCCAGATAATTATGCTGTGACGCTTTTTAACTATCATGACGCGCCGCGCGTATGTTGTACTTGCGCGTTGCATTTAGAGTACACTTCCAAAATTCACTCCATTTAATTTC